GTTTAGAGCATCAGCAAAATGAGAATATTCCTGAAAAGTTCCTCCTGTCAAAGTCACTGCTGCAGGTATTAGAAGATTACCAGCTGGTGTGTTGCGTATAATTGGCTGTGAATTCCACTTATATGTATGGTGTCCAAGACATGTGACACTTACTGTTGTCATGCTTCCAGTTTGAGTCTTAATTACTTCACAGACTGGAGAACCACAAATTTTACAATGAGTAAATAGCTCATTTAGTTGACTTTCAAACACAATAAATAACCGATCCTTGTTAAACTTGGTGTCCTCAGACTCAGATTCACTCTGTTCTGACTGTGAATACACAAAATCACTATCACAGTCATCAACACTGGTACATGAACTGCTGGCATCAATCATTTGATCATTATCTTCAATATGAATGGAACCTTCTGGGGCTTCAGGTTCATTTACCTCAGTTCCTAAGTGCATTCCATGGTCAGGCAGGCTAAAACTAACAGCATAATTGTGATCCAAATCAATATGTGTATAGTCTTGGTTTGAAATTTTCTGCTGGTCCTCTGCTCTCAGATTGAAGGTGCTGTAACCTGTTCAGTTGTTACATTTGGAAGTGGAGAGTGTCTGAGTGCCAATGGTCCTTTTTGGTAACACTGTGCATTGTGTCTCTGCATCCACTTTTGTTAAACAACTTTTGTTTAAGAAGTTGATGTCTGGCTCATACTCTATTTTCTCAGTTATATATTCATCACAATTTTCTTCCATTTCGCTAGAAGAGGTCACACTTGCTGCCAATATGTTTTCAAGCTCCTTTAATTTCAAAAAGAAAATATTTATAAGCATGTAAAAGCAAACTTATATGTATTCAATGGTATAAATTTCACAAGCTATTTGTACCCTTTGCTTTTCATTTCAGTTAACAGTAGGACATGACTTTTACTCACCTCGTTTTTCTCTCTTTTTCGAAGTCYTTCAAGTGTTTTTTGGCGTTCCTTTCTTTTACTTGAATGCGGAAAAATCGTTGGAACTGATTCAGATTTTAGGGTTCTTTTGTATCTTTGGCCGCATAAATTTTTAAATGAAGATTGAAAGCAGTCAGGAGTAAAGTGCTCGATGCAAACATAGCTGTATTCAGGCTTTCTAATGTTWTGTCTGCGAATTTTTGAGATCCACACCTTTCTTAACTTTTCATCGCTAGGCAATCGATGGTAGGATATTCCTTGAGTTTTTCTCGAACCATTTGTACATCCTGGGACCATACAATGAGGCATAATAGACGTAGAAATAAAACCTAAGAGTGAATGTCAGTAAAAATCAAACAAAATTTGAAAGTTCGCGGACACGGCCAAAAAATCGATTCGGCTTACATTTTGCCTATTGATAGGACTGGATGAGTAGGTAAAGGAAAT